TTTCTTTTAGCATTTTTATTGCTTTTGGATATAAGAAACTGATAAGTCTGGCAATCATCAATCAGTAAGATCATTGTTAACAATTCTTAAATTATTTTGTAAGGCTCATATTAGAAACATGCCAAAAACATGATAATGTATGCCTTTCTAATTTGATCCAATCAGATATGTGGGTTTTCTAAAGAAACTGATTGTTTCTACAGATTAAGACTTCAGTCAACTATGGGTCTGTCAAATAAAAAAGGTAGCCTCTAACTTTCGTTTCATATATTTTTCTCTATTTTTTTTTTATATTAACAATTGGCCTTTTAGAAAATACTGAAAAATTTGTATGATTACATAGGAGTAGGTGTCCCCAGGGACACATCTTTGCCATACTGCAGCAGAGTGCTTTCAAACTAATAACTATAGAGATTGCCATTACAATATGATTGTAGCAAGGCAGGGCTGCATAAAATCCTACACAGACTAATAGAATACTATTTGAAAAATTATACATTTAAACTAGACCTAGATCAGCCCGTCATAACAATATAAAGACAGTGGATTTTAATTGCTTGTTATTGTGTTTTTGATGGTTTTATTCTGAGCTGACTCACATCTTTCTGAAATGGTCAGAGAGGCCAGAAAAGGAGAAGAGCAAATATCTGTGACTTAATATTTGAGCCAAGCAATTTTTGTTTCCTCAACACTTCTGGAGTTTCTCACAAAGTAACTCAGGCTGAATTACGTTAAATGGCCTGGAAAAAAAAAACAAAAAAAAAACATGATCCTCAGAATGCTGTGTTAAAAACAAACAAACAAACAAACAAAAAAATAAACCACCCATTTTTCGAAACCTTTTGCACATCCAGAAAGGTTGGCCATTTCAAATATTTAAATTTGTGTATCTGAGCTTGTTAGTGTTTCATTAGACCATAAATTTCAAATATTGTCTTTCACTTATACTGTAAAAGTTTTTGTTCAACTTAGATATTAGATAAGACTTAGACACTTACATTAAAATGCTATATAAATAATTAGTATTTTATGGAATGGTAGAAAGTCAAAACTACATAGTAACTCAATTTAATGTAGAAATAAAAAATATTCATCTATCTGTGTCATTGTAAATAGTAAAATGAAAAAATTATGACTATTAACCTGTGGGGAAAAAAAGAGAGAAATTGAATATTAGTCACAAAACCTTCCTTAACATTTTTAAATGTATATATTTTGGACTGAAATTACCCATTAAAAAGTAACATACAGCAATATAAAATTCAAAAAACTCCAATAGGGGAAAAATATAAATGCATGTTTTAATACATAAATCTCAATATCTGTTGGACTC